CTACTATGAGCAGCTGAGTAGCTGCCTTAGGGATATGGTCTGTTCCTGTATATATGGAGAAGCCTTGGGGAATGGTCTCTAGTTTATGGCACACTTGAAGCCTGTATGTAGCCATGTCATTGTTCAGCAACTGCCTATGCTCTGCTGACCTTGGGACTTACAGTGGACTTGAATGAATGGCCTGCCATGTGGTTTGGTAACACAGAGACTGTGCCATTTTATTTGTCAACCTTGGGCTTGTTAGCCTCAGCAGCTAGTAGATGTCAGAGTGAAGAGATGCCTCTAGCTTCAGTGGGCTGGGAGCAAGAGGTGAGCTGAAGCCCAAGGTTGAGGGGCTTTGATCCAGCCCCTAGAACCTGGCCTATGAACTTGGACTTAAAGCCTCCAAACTGTACGAGAATAAACTCCTATTTGTTAAAGCCATGCCATTTGTGGTATCTTCTTTTAGAGCAGCACAGAGGTAACCAGAACACTGAACAAATAATCTGACAAGCTGGACTATATGAAAAAGAACACGACATCAGAATTGGAGGAAGACTCATTAACAATCTGTGATATGCAGATGAGACAACCATCAATTGCTCATATACAACTTCAATCTTTTCTGCATTTATCGTGATACTACTTATTGGTCCAGTTGCAAGGAACAGACCATCAATTGCTCATATACAAGTTCAAGTTGGAGCTGAAGAAAATTAAAACAAGTCAATGATAGCCAAAGTAAAACCTTGAGTATATCCCGCCTGAATTTGGAGACCATCTCAAGAACAGATTTGATGCACTGACCTCTAATGACCAAAGAGCAGATGAATTGTGTGATGACATTAAGGATAGTGAAAGGTTATTAAAAAGACAGAAAATATCAAAATGGACATCAGAAAAGACTCTTAAACTTGCTCTTGAAAACAGAGTAGTTATGCATATGGAAGAAATGATGAAGTAAAAAAGCTGAACAGAAAATTTCAAAGGGTAGCTCAAAAACAAAAAGTAAAGTACTAATATGAAATATGCAAAGCTTTAGAGTTAGGAAACCAAAAAGGAAAAACACGCTCAGAATTTCTCATGCTGAACTGAAGAAAAAAAATTCAAGTCTCAAGTTGCAATATTTAAGGATTCTTTGGGCAAAATATTGAATGACACAGGAGGCATCTAAAGAAGATGGAAGGAATACACATAGTCACCGTACCAAAAAATAATTGGTTCATGTACAACCAATTCAGGAGGTAGCATGATCAAGAACCAATTATCTGAAGGAAGTAAATCCAAACTACCCTGAAGGGATTGACAAAAAACAAGGAATTGGCACAATGCCAATTATAATGTTTCAACAAACAAAAGCATTTCTGGAACTATTCATTGGTCTATCCTAAGAAATCTGGAAGACAGCTGCTTGGCCAACCAATTGGAAGAGATCCTATTTGTGCCCTTTCTGAGGAAAGATGATCCAATAGAATATGGAAATTAGAGAATGATATTTTACTTGGATCTACATTCAACACCCATGGAAGTTGTTGTTATTTGCCATGGAGTCAGACCTGACTCATAGTGACCCCTTCTTGGGTTTCCAAGGCAGTATCAGTATGGAAGCAGATTGCCCAACCTTCCTTCCGAGGAGTGGCTGGTGGGTTTGAACCACCAGCCTTCTGGTTAGCAGTCAAGTGCCTTAGGCACTACCCATCAGGAAATCATATGTCATATTGCACTGAAAAACTCTGCTGCAAAAGACTTCTTTAAAATATTAAAAAGCAAGGATGTCACTTTGAAGACTAAGATGAGTCTGAGCCAAGCCATGGTATTCTCAATCACCTTATATGCATGTGAAAGATAGACAATGATTAAGGAAGACCAAAGAAGAGTTGATGACTTTGAATTATGGTACTGGTGAATACCGAAAATACCATAGACTGTCAGAAGAACAAACAAATCTGTCCTGGAAAAACGGCAGCCAGAATGTTCCTTGGAAGCAAGAATGGCCAAACTTGATCTCACCTACTTTGGTCATGTTGTCAGAAGGGAGCATTCCCTGGAGAATGGTGTCATGCTTGGTAAGGTGGAGGGTCAGCAAAGAAGGGGAAGACCCTCAATGAGACGGACTGACCCAGTGGCTGCAACGATGGGCTCAAGCACAGCAGGGATTGTGAGGATGGCGCAGGACTGGGCAGGGTTTCGTTCTGTCATACCTAGGGTCACTGTGAGTTGGCACCAACTCGACGGCACCTAACAACAACATTAATATCACAAGCAAGTAAAATTTTGCTGAAGATAATTTAAAAATGGTTGTGGCAGTACATCGACAGGAAGCTACCAGTAATTCACACTGGATTTAGAAGAGGATGTGGAATGAGGGATATCACCACTGATGTCAGATAGATCTTGGCTAAAAGCAGAGTATAAGAATAGTGTTTACTTGTGTTTTACTGACCATGCAAAGGCATTCAACTATGTGGATCATAACAAATTCTGGACAATATTGCAAAGAATGGGAATTCCAGAGCACTTAATGAATTCTGCTCAAGAGGCAGTCATTTAAACAGAGCAAGGGGATACTGCATGGTTTAAAATCAGGGAAGGTGTGCATCAGGGTTGTATCCTTTTTACCATACTGATTTAATCTGTACAGTAAACAAATAATCCCAGAAAGTGGACTATGATGAAGAAGAACGCAGCATCAGGATTTCAGGAAGAGTCATTAACAACCTTAGATATGCAGATGACACAATCTTGCTTGCTAGAAGCAAAGAGGACTTGAAGCACTTACTGATGAAGATCAAAGACCACAAACTTCAGTATGGATTATATTGCAACATGAAAACAAAAATCCTTGCAACTGGACCAATAAGTAGTATCACGATAAACGCAGAAAAGATTGAAGTTGTCAAGGATTTCATTTTATTTGGATCTACAATCATTGCCCATGGAAACAGCAGCCAAGAAATCAAAGGATGTATTGCATCAGACAAATCTGTTGCAAAAGACTTCTTTAAAGTGTTCAAAAGCAAAGGTGTCACCTTAAGGATTAAAGTGTGCCAAGGTGGACAATGAATAAGGAAGACTGAAAAAGAATCGCTGCCTTTGAGTTATGGTGTTGGCAAAATGCATTGAATATACCATGGACTGCCAGAAGAACAGAAAATCTGTCTCAGAAGATGTACAGCCAGAATGCTCCTTGGAAGCAAAGACTTTGGACATGTCATCAGGTGGGAGCAGTTGCTGGTGAAGTATAACATACTTGGTAAAGTAGAGTGCCAGTAAAAAAGAGGAAGCCCTTCAATGAGATAGAGTGACACACTGGCTGTGACAATGAGTTCGAGCCCAGCAAAGACAGTGAGCATGGTGCCTGATGGGGCACTGTTTTGTTTGGATGTTCACAGGGTCTTTGTAAGCTGGGACCAGCTTGATGGCACCCAGCAAAAACAACATTATGTTTTGAGAAAAATGCCTTAAGATAATGCCAAAGACAAACTTTCATTCATAAAAAGAATGTTACTACCATTTATATAGGAGCTCTGGTAGCATAGTGCCTAAGGCTAACTTCAAACCCACCAGCCACTCCTCGGAAGGAAGGTTGGGCAACCTACTTCCGTAGTGATACCGCCTCGGAAACCCAAGGAGGGGTCACTATGAACCGGAGCAGACTCGATGGCACACAACCACCACCACCATTTATATAGTTCCTCACTACTGGCCCATGTAAGGGAAGGAATAAAGGAACACTTGGCCTTTGGCCCTTTTTATCACCCTGATGAGGAAGCCAGCAGTGCAGTGACATTTCAGAAAGTTCTGAAAGCAGAAAGCTCATGAAACAGAAAGTTCTAGCGGCATCCTGAGGAATCTAATCAACTAATTGCCGCAGGAGGAACAGGGACACACTTCAGAAGTCCTGGTTCACCTCTCAGACAAGTGGCCATGCAAATCTTATCTGAATGTGAAAGTGAAGAAGAGGGGCCAGAGGCTTTTATGCAGAAACTAAGCTTCTGTCCAAAGCTGGGGGCAGTGGGGTGGCCTTAGAAACGCATGCGCAGAGGGCACAAGTCCAGTGTGCATGACCCTGTGGTACCAGCAGTGCTCTGATGATGATGCAGATGAAGAAAACAGTGGTCAGGATGTTCAACGTACGAAGTCTTATTCTGTTGACTGTGTCTCTCCCCCAGGGAGCGGGGATGGTTACACTCTACTACTAGAAGGACGTTCAGTGGTTCAACCCACCCAGAAGCTTCCGAAAATTCACAGGCTTGAAAACCCTGTGGAGCAGTTCTACTCAGAATGGGCAAGATGGCAACTAATAAGAACCCTAGGCACCAAGAAGGGAATGAGAAAAAGCCCCGGGTTTAGAGCCAAACATATAAATTAGGAAGTTCCTTCTTCTACATGATCGATGCAATCTTAAGAGATCACCACTAGGAGCCAGCCACTTCCTCAGGGAGATAAACGACGGAAAGCATCGTGAGGAGTGCTCTGAGATAAGGCCATGAGTAAGGAGAGGCCCTGCTTAGTCCAGCTCTGTGAGCCGCAGAGAAGGGGTCACACAGCGGCGGCAGAAGGAAAGTCATCTCTCTCCCAGGGAGAGGACGAAGTGTCTGGGACGCATCTCGGGCTACGCCTGGCTCTCGGTGGAGGATCCGCGGCACAGAGCTCCCCCGCGCGCGCGCAGCCTCCCAGCGCTGGGCCTGGCTGCCAGGAGGCCGGCCCCTGGCGGGAAGGGGCAGGGAAACCTCAGAGCAGCGCGCAGACAGCAGCCGCCTTGTTCCGCAGCCGGGTGGCTGTGCTTCCCCTCCCCTGGGCCAGACATCCCCGCCCCGCCCTCGCTCCTCACCTCCCGGGGCGATCCTTTCTGCTGTGGCTCTGAAAGTGTTAACCCTGGAGATTTCCGTACTCTCCCCACGCCCCCCGCCGGCCTAGGGTTCCTAAAAAAGAAAGGTGCAAAGTTTGGTCCCGGGTAGGGAACGAGTGATCAAAGCCGAGCCGATACTTCCTGTTGCCGGGACGCTATATATAACGTGATGAGCGCACCGGCTGCAGAGACGCACCCGAGCGCTCGCCCGCCGCCGCCGCCGCCGCCTGAGGTTTCCCCGGACCACAATGAACAAGTTGCTGTGCTGCGCGCTGGTGGTAAGTCCCTGCCCAGGGGTGGCGGGCGCTGGGGCCTGGGCGCCTGGGAAAGCTGCCTGCCGCTTCTTGGTCCCCAGGTCTCCCAGCGGATTGATGGGGAGAGAGCCCAACTCGCTTCCTCTCCCAGGAGAGAGGTTTGGGGCCTCTCAAGAGGTTGGAACAAAATCTCTTTCAAGCTCCAGCGACTTTCTCAAAGGATTTCCCTCTGTGATGGAAGGTTCCTTCTGAGTTTATAGAGAAGAGAGAGAAGCCAGATATACACCTTTTTCTTTGATTTTTATTCTTTTCTTTTCTTCATCTCTGGTTTTTAACGCCCTCATATATGGTTCAAGGAGCCCTGGTGGCTCAGTGGTTAAGCGCTTGGCTGCCAATCAAAGTCAGTGGTTCTAACCGAGTGCTCTAGGGGACAAAGATGCTGCAGTCTGCTTCCCTAAAGATTTGCAGCCTAGGGAACCCTGTGGGGCAGTTCTACTTTGTCTTACAGGGTAGCTGTAAGTCAGAGTGGACTCAACGCCAACGGGATATAATTCATACTGTCTTTGTTTAATTAACTTGGACTTTATTATTATTATTATTGGCAATGGAGTGGTCCCTTAGAATCCCAGTAAGTTGGGAAGAGATGCCAGTCTTTTTACAATTATTGTAATTAGAATAAAAGTTAAACACAGTGAATATGATTGATACATCATTAGTCGCTTTCTTTGTTCACGCGCATGTTGTGGGAGCGTCAGAATTATTGGGACCAGAGAAAAGATGACACACACACACATATACAACCCTTCTTAACTGTGCAATTAAAACTTTTAATTAAAAAAATATTTTTAAAATCTATTATTCCAGTCTCGGTTTCAATGTTTAAAAAAAAGGGTGAGATAGTGTTAATTATGTTCTAAAATCTATTTAAGTAATTTTAAGTTCAACACCACATAGGGTTAAAAATTGTTGTTAACATGCTTTTTGGAAAAGAAAGGAATCTCTGTGACTTAGCTTGTTGTTGTTGTTATGTGCCATCTGAGTCCGACTCATAGCGACCCCTCCTTGGGTTTCTGAGGCGGTATCACTACGGAAGTAGATTGCCCCATCTTCCTTCCGAGGAGTGGCTGGTGGGTTT